TTTAGAGGGTCACATTAATAGATATTATGATGTTGAACTATTTCTTCATTTCTAGGTTTAACCTTGTTTAATATTGATGTGTTAGTCTTTTAATATAATATTGAATTCTAGGATCTACTATCTTTAGAATTTACACATCTATGATTATAAAGAGGTTGGTTTAGTTCTCTCCAACTCTCCCTTCATTTTGCTTGCTTTGACATTGTAACCTTAAAGAAGCAGTGGGAAACATTTAATCTTTTTCTTTGCTCTGGAGTAATTTATATCTGTGATGCAAAAGTTTGGAAGATTTTCCGTTAAAATCATCTGACCTTTGTAGCTTTTTTAGATATAGCTCTTTAATTCCTATCTCTTATAGAATCAAATTTAATAATTTATGTTTTTTAAAAAGACATAAGGAGACCGGCCCGGTGGCGTACAGTTAAGTTTGTGTGCTCTGCTTCAGCGGCCAAGGGTTCGTGGGTTTGGATCCCGAGGGTGGACCGTTGCACCGCTTGTCAAGCCATGCTGTGGTGGCGTCCATATAAAGTAGATGAAGATGGGAATGGATGTTAGCCCAGGGCCAGTCTTCCTCAGCAAAGAGAGGAGGATTGACAACTGATGTTAGCTCAGGGCTAATCTTCCTCACACACACACACACACACACACACACACACACACACAGACAACATAGTTTTATCTGGATATCAAATGTATTGGTTTAAAGATGTTTATAATTCTCTGCTTACTTTAGTTTATAATACTATATGTTTATAGTATATTTTTAAATCTCCACATTTTTAGTTGTGTCACTTTTCTCATTCTTACTGTTGATTACGGCTTGGCAAAACCCATCACTTTAAAAAGAAATTAGCCTTGCAAAAGGTTTGCTTTATTGGACTTTTCAAAGAAGTGAGTTTTGTTTAATTGTTCAAACCTGTTATTTTCTAGTTTTTCTGTGTAATTATTTTCTGCTATTAACTACATTTAATCCCTTCTATTTTCTTTAGATCTCTTTCTTGTTTGGTATTCCCTAGCTTGAGTTTATTGGTTATCTATTTTCAGTCAGTCTTACGTTAAAATTAATGTATTTAAAGGTCTAAATTTTCCTGTCAATAATGCTCTGACCACTTTTCATTGCTTTGAAATGTATCTAGTATCTTATCATTCATTTTTTTTTTTTTTTTTTTTTTTTTTTTTTTTTTTTTTTTTTTCCCCCCAAAGCCCCAGTGGATAGTTGTATGTCGTAGCTGCACATCCTTCTAGTTGCTGTATGTGGGACTCGGCCTCAGGATGAACGGAGAAGTGGTGCCTCGATGCGCACCCGGGATCCGAACCCGGGCCACCAGCATCGCAGCACGCGCACTTAACCACCAAGCCACAGGGCCGGCCCTTATCATTCATTTTTAAATGATTTAAACGTTTTAGATTTTTAAATTTTTTTTTAAATTTCCAAGATTTCCAAATAAATTTTCTTTTTTTGCCTCTCCCTTTCTCATTCCCTTTCCTTAACTGCTTTTCTTCCTTCCTTATTTTCTTTCTGCTGCCATTGGACTTAAACCCCATTGACTAGAAGAAACATTACTTTTTTTTTTTCTAAGAAAGAAAAAAATGCACTCAATCTATGACTGAGTGCTTTCTTATCATTCAGAATTTTTATTTTAAATTTATTGAAAGAGACTTGCACATTTTAATTCTGACACTTTTCATAAAATCTTATCTGAAATTTTCAATAAATGGTTTCCAGGTAACAATTGCATCTTATCTTTCCATCTTTGTTCCTCAGATGGTCCTTAAGTTGTTTGTTGATGATACATGGCATCAGAGTAATGACTCTGCAAGTAAAGCCAAATAAAAAGTTACCTCAAATGCAGACAATGACAACTACATTCCAATAACTGCCTGGGAAACAGCAAATTAATGCTATGATTCCAGTGTCAGAGATAAAAAGAATTGTATGTCTTAGAGTTGATGAAGTATAATATACTATGTTGTTAATTTTATTTAGTTGTAGGGAGAGGATGTAATATGACTTCTGCTTTATGGAAACTTTTGAGACTTTCTCTGTGTCTAATGTATTGCCTATTTTTGTGAGTATGCAATTTGTGTTTAAAAAGCATGTGTAAAGCGAGTTTATTAGGCACAACGTAAACATACTGTTTAATTGTGTTATTCATATCCTTTATAACTTTTCTTTTTTTAGTTGTCAATTCCGTTTGTTGGTTTTTGAGGAAGTAAGTTAAACCCTTCAAGATTTTGTGAATTTTTCAGTTTCTTCTTTTATTTTTATCAATTTTTGCTTTATATTGATGTGCCAAGTTGCTAAGTGCATAAATGTTTAATACATTTTCCTTGAATTCTGTTATGTCTAATATTTATATTGATATACTGATTCCTTTTTATTGATATTTACCAGTATAAATTATATAAAATATAAATAATATATAAATATATAAAATATATTATTTCTTTATTTTCAGATTTTCTCTTATTTTTTGTTGTCTAATTGTATCTAGTTTGTATCTTAGTGTGAATTTTATTTTCTTTGTTTTGTAAACTGAGAATTTACATTTTTAATAAGAATTTAACATGTTGTGATATGTAAGTATTGATATGATGGGATGTACTTTCTGTTTACGATTTTATTTGTTGTGTGTGAGCAATGAGCAAATTAGATACAGTTCTTCCTTTTGTGGATCTTATTGTATAATAGGCAATATCTTAAATAATACCTTATTTTTGTATATCATGCTACAGGTAAAAAGTACTTTCTAATGTACAGTCATGTGCCATATAACAACATTTAGATCAATGAGGACCACATATATGATAGTGGTCCCATAAGAATAGTACCATATAGCTTAGGTTATACTATCTAGGTTTGCATAAGTACACTCTGTGATGTTTGCATGATGAAATCACTTAATGATGCATTTCTCAGAATGTATCCCCATCAAGTGATGCATGACTGTGCTATTTTATATGTTCTTCAAAAATCTTCTCCAAGGGAGGTGTTAGCCTTATTTGGAAGCACAGAGAACTTAATAACATGGAGTTTTGAAATGGCAGATTGGAGTCCAGAATTCATTGCTCAGTTTGTTGAAATGCATGAAATAAAACTTTTATATAGTCAGGGAAAACTCCATGGAACCCGTTATAATTATATTTTAGGGTTATTTTTATTTATTTATTTTTTGCTGAAGAAGATTCACCCTGAGCTAACATCTGTTGCCAATCTTTCTCTTTTTTTTTTTTTGCTTGAGGAATATTAGCCCTGAGCTAACATCTGTGCCAGTCTTCTTTTATTTTGTATGTGGGATGTAACCATGGCATGGCTGATGAATGGAGTAGGTCTGCACCTGGGATCCGAACCTGCGAACCTGGGCCACAGAAGCGGAGCACATGGAACTTTAACCACTCCACCATGGGGGCTGGCCCCTGGGGTTATTTTTAATGAGCTATACTATGTGTAAAACTGTTTCCATCTGTATTTATTTAGTTCTTCTTCTCTGTATCTGTCATTTTGCCTGGACCAGAGAGATAATTTCCAAATCAAATGTAGTTTCTGTCCTCATGGGGTTTGACTTTGATTTGGAAGCTAAACACTTTGAGTATGGTCCAAGATAAAGGCAACATTGTCTCAGAACATATCTAAGAGCATTTCTTCAGTCCCATTTTCTTTCCCTTTGCCCCCTTCAGTTGGCTAACTCCTTTCCTTCTCTATTCATGTCTTACTTAAAAGTAACTTCTTCCAGAGACCTTTCTGAAATTTTTAGGCCACAATAGCTTCCCCCTGCTATGGCCTCAAGCATTATCGAATGCCGTTCTTAAAATGATACACAACATACCCTACTGTAATTACTGACATGTCCGTTTTTTTCCGTGTGCATCTATTTCATTAAATTTTGTGTCTTTAGTGACTAGTGCAGTGCCTGGAACACAATAAGGGTTCAAGAAATACATGATGAATAATGAGTGAGTGCTAAATTCTGCTCTGTATCCTCAGCAGTTACCACCTGGCATGCGATAAAACTCCTTAAAGGAATCTCAACTGTTGTCACCATGGCTACCGCAAGGTTCTTGAATGTGTCAAAAGTTGTAATTCCTCAATAATTGAAGTCTGATAATGGCGCACAAATACTCATGTTCAGTGGCTTTTACAGAATGATTAAATGTTTCAGTGTTAGAAATCTTACAGTATTCCCCCAATAAGAGAAGAAAAATCTGAATAGCAACTCTACATGTTTTTTCAAAATTCTGTGCAGTTCATAATATAAAAAGCATTAAAGCTTTAAATGAGAAAAAGCATTAAAAAGAAAATATACAGTTATGGGCAAATTGAGCCTGGAATGTTTGAAAAAATAGCAGCATAAGTTACCTAGGGATATCCCTTTTAAGTTATATCTGGATGTATTTGTCTTAATTTATAATTTTGAAAGTATTTGTATTAATTTATAAAGTATATTTTGTCAAATGTAGTCAGGAGTTCTGGACCTGAAAATTATTTTTTAATGAATATAGTTATGAAAAAATTTAAATGAATCCAATGATTAATTTTACTAGAATGACAAATAGTATTTTCATCTCACATAAAACAAATAATCATAACCTGCATTTGCATTTGGAAAATACAAGATAATTGAAATTGTAATTGAATTGGTTAATTGTGTCTGTCAGTTTTTTTTTAGTTAAATTATATGTTTTTAGTTAAGTTTTCTTTTTTAGGTTGAAATTTAAATTCAATGAGGAGGAAATTAGGCATTTAATAAATTATGGACATGAATTCCTTCTAAGACATAGATATGTTTAACATAGAACAGAGCCTAGAGGTAAAAATAATGGTTCAATTGTGGTTAAAGATGAGGGGTGGAGGAGTATGCGACCACATACACTAAAAAATCCGCCCACTTGTCCTATGTTTGCTTTGTTCAGAAGGTAATGGTGACTTTGAAGTAGAAATAGATTGATTCATCATGTTATAGCCGGAGGGATGTTAATACATTTTCCCTTTTTTCTTCCAGCACACTGATTTATGTCAGTACATGGACAAGCACCCTGGGGGGCTGCATCCAGATAATGTGAAGGTAGGAAAAGATCTTTTTAAGCTAAGGGGTAGCATTCTTCACGTGCAGTTTTTGAGCCAAAATGTAATCTCTACCATAACTTTTTTTTTTTGGGGGGGTGAAGACAAGTAATATTGAAGTGAACCATAGTCACTGCTTCATTTAGTGGTTGGTGACCATGTGTTAACATGAACTATTTTCACTAGAGTATTATTATTTAGATCTTATTCTATTTTTTCTTCCTGGAGAAACATTTGCTGATGAGGAGTGAGATCCAGTGGAATCCTATTGTAACACTGTTTTCAGTAGAGGGGAATCTCAGGTAGCTCTGTCTTGGAACCCTATGCTAAGTACCAGTTGGTTTCAATATAAAGTATTTTTATGATCCAAAACAGTGTTATGGTGTGTTCACAGTAAATATTTTTTCATGTGTTTGTACAAATAGATAAAAATGGCTCTTCCTACTACTCTCTTTCATTTTTTTCTTTAACTACAAATTAGATTACTAGGTGTCAAAAAAACTAAGTTTTTCTAAGGTTTGGCCTAGCAACCATCTTGGGAAATTGTCCCAAAATTTCAAGCTTGAAACAGTAGACTCTTTCTTGGCATATGTTAGGGAGTTAGAAGATACCAAAGTCATATCTGAAGGCTTAATGACGTGCTCACATTTTATTGTTTAAATGACCACATTTCATGATCCTGAGAACCAATTGAGTACTATGGATATATCTGAAGTAAAATTATTTGTCTCCATTTCTTCCCATTCATTATCTACACCACTCTTTGCAACATGGCGTGGTTTTTCTTTTGTACTTTTCCCTTTGCTTGTAGAGGTATATATGCACATACGATGTTTTGTGTGTTTATTGCTTTTCTCTTTATAAAAATAATATATATTATTGTATAAGTTTTTTTCACTTAAAATATATCATGGATGTCCTTTAACATCAGTACATGACTATGTAGTTTAGTGTTTCTAATAACTGCATATTATTCCATAGTATGAATAAACCATAATTTTCAACTATTCCTTATTCGTGGATCTTTGAATTGTTTCCAAAATGTCACTATTATAAATGATTCTAGAGTAAATATTAATATAAAACCTTTTCACCCCTATTCTTTTGGATATCTAGTTAATGGGTTTTCTTTTTTAAGTCAGAGACCTGATTTCAGTTTTAATGAATTTGACTGGAACATTTGCTCACAAGGTTGTAAATTACAGGAGGACTGTTTTTCTCTACTCTCTCTAGGATTGACTGTAACCAGTCATTTTAATTTTTGCCATTCTGATCTGTAAAAATGGAGTGTCTCTTGCATTGGCATTTTCTTGACTGCTAGTGACATTGAGCATCTTTTTGCATGTTTCTTGACCATTTGTAATTCTGCTATTATAAGTTTCCTGTTCTTATATATTCTCCATTTCTCTATTGGGCCATTTTTTTTCCTTAATAAGTTGCAGGTGCTTTTTAATATTTGTGATGTTAATAATGAGAGTTTTTATGGTGGTGAGTTATGTTGTACAATTTTAAAATGTAAGAACGTATAGGAACTCTGAAAAAATATTGTTTTTTAAATAAATAATAGGTTCAACACAATACTTATAGTATTTGTTGATTTTTTCATATATCTCCTTTTTTGTTGTTGTAATTTTTTGTTTTATTTAGATTTCTTGTAAATTTTTTGACTATTCATTTTTCTCAAAGGTCTGTAGCCATTGACATAGATAGTTTTCTAGTAGTTAGACTGGGCAGGAAATTTTAGCAGATGAAGAGACTTGTTTTACTAATCTTGCCTGTGTTCAAGTCCAACTTTAAATATTAGTATTATAACATGAACATAATTTTATTCTTTCTTTTACATTAAAAAATCTCAAATTGTCTCATTTATACATTAAGTGTTCTCTTCTTAGGGTTGATTGGGTTTAAAATCAATAGTATGATACACCCTTACTCCTGTTTCCTGCTTTAACCCTGGGAATCTATAGAGCCCAGCTAGTGAGAACTTTGGCTCTGGGGAGCCCAGGTGCCTGCCAGCCTCAGTGGAAATCAGCAGCTACTCTGAGCTAACTTTGACTTCCTGACTTTCAAATTCCCTGACAGGATTGAGATGAAAGAGCTGCCTGAACCTTGTCAAAGAACCATGGCATCACTGGACTTCTATTATCCTTGTTTGGTTGTCTCACCAGCTCTCTGTGTGTCATTAGTTATGGGCTAAGTTTTCTTGATGAAACAAAGAAAGAAAGCTCATTCCATAAAGCATTGCCATGTTCACTGTCCTCAGGCCAATGTCACTGGTGGTTTTTGTAGCATTTTTACTGTAAGTTCTGCTTCTTCCATTACATTTTATTTTTCCTTTGTCTCCTAATGATCCTGGAGAGACTGATCTCTAGGTTGCTGTTTTTCAGTAACTAGGCTGCACTCTTTGAAATTATGTTTCAGCAGCTCTTATCCAAGTTTCACAAGCTTTTCTTTTACCCCATAGTCATTAATCATATTTCAGATACTTGGTGTTTGATCCTTTGAGAAGTCCAGGTTGTACTGTGGTAGTAAGCAAGGTTTACTACTGCTAGAGTTCTCAGGTATGGCAAGAAACTTTTTTTTTTTTTTTTTTAAAGATTTTATTTATTTATTTTTCCCCCAAAGCCCCAGTACATAGTTGTCTGTCATAACTGCACATCCTTCTAGTTGCTGTATGTGGGACGCGGCCTCAGCATGGCTGGAGGAGTGGTGCCTCGGTGCTCACCCGGGATCCGAACCCGGGCCGCCGGCAGCGGAGCGCATGCACTTAACCGCTAAGCCACGGGGCCGGCCCAAGGAGTTATTCCCAGTCAAAAGTTGTTGAACATGGTCACAGATTGATGCCCTACTACATTTTTGCCTCTAAAAAAATATGATATGATTTACCTCTTCTTAAACCTTTTTGAATAACTGAAAGGCAGAAAAATACATTGATATATAGGTATCCCTTTCCCCATAGGGATTGAAATCTTGGCTCCTTGAGGATTTGCCAGATGTACTGGACAGTCTCAGTTCTTGGAATATCTAAGGATACAAGAAACTTCAGTAATCATCTAAGAGGTCTTCAAACTTGGCTCCATGGCCGAATCACGTGCAAAGCTTTAAAAAAAAATACATACACACACACACACACACACACACACACACATGTATGTACATATTTTCCCCCATCTCTTCTCATCTCCCAGAATCAGAATCAAATTAAAAAAGTCGCTTTAAGCAGGGAAAGGTGGGCATTTGCTCAGACGCAGGATATTTGCTGAGAGCCCAGGCTGCCTCTCATGCCCCACAGCACCCCTGCTCTCCCTGTGGCCCTGCATGGCTTTATCCCCCAGCCTGGAGGACACGTATGCTTCCTAGCAATCCTGGCCTGTTGGTCTCTCACAGCCTTCCAGCCTGCCTGCCTCCACTGCTCCTCCCTCTGCCAGTGAGGCAGTCATGTCCCGGAGTATGGAAGAGGCTGGGCGGGTGGGAAGGGATAGAGGAGAACGTGAGAGACAGGGCTCAGCCTGTGGTGCTTCAAAAAAACAGATGTCCGACCCATGCCTCAGGGTAAAAAATTATAAGCGTCTTTTGTGGAGAATCTGATCAGTCCAAGAGAACAGATCTAAACAATCAAGGCGACTCTATAGTGAAGACCCCAGCTGACAAATAGGTAACTTAGAGGAAGCAAAGTTGCTTGCATCGATGAGACAGAGAAAGATAAGAAAGAAAACTTCAAAAAAAATTATCATTAATATTCTCAAAGAGGTAAAAGAAAAAAGTACATCTATAAAACAGGAATGATATGTTGTTTTTGAAAAGGAGAACTTAGTGAACATAAAGTAGCTTTGGAAATTAAAAATATGATGACAGAAATTAAAAACAACAACAATAAAAAAGGATGGAAGATAAAGTTGAAGAAGTTTATTAGAAAATAGAGCATAAAATACAAATCTAATAAATGAGAAAGTATCAAAAAATTAGAGGTCCAGTCCAGGGGATCCAACATCTGAATAACTAGAGAAAATAAAGAGGAGGGAATCATTAAAGTAATAATCATTAAACTATACTTTTCCAGATGTGAAGGATGTGAATTTCAAGATTAAGAGGGTTCATTAAATGCCCAGAACACTTAATGAAAATAGACTGACAATAACATTCATTATTGCAAAATTTCAGAACATTGGTTTCAAAGAAAAATCCTACATAAAGGACACAAGTTGACTCCAAAGGGAAGAATTACAGTGGCATTAGACTTTTCAACAGCAACACTGGGAGATGGCACTGGGGCAATGGCTTGAAAATTCTGATGCAAAATTATTTCCGACCTAGTATTCTATACAAACTGTCAGTGAAGTGCAAGGGTAAAGTAATTATTTTTGGGTATTCAAGGAGTTGAAAATTTTGCCTACCTTGCATCCTAGGAGGCTTCTCAAGGATGTACTCTGCTAGAACTCAGGGAATAAACCAAGGCTGAGAAGACAAAGAAACCAGGTAACAGAGGCCACCACAGGAGAGAGATGAAGGAGAGCCTCAGAATGATGATGAAAAGAATCCTAGGATGACAACTGTGTTTCAGGCTGGGAGAGTACCCACCAGTCCTATTGGAGCAGATCAGAAGTATCCGGGAAGGTTTCCAAGAAGAGAAAATTGTTAGGTGGAATACGTAATGTGTTTGAGCAGATATACAAGGTGGGAGAAGAGTTTCGTGTTGAATTAGTGATAACTATAAAGAAAACTAAACAAAGGAAAACAAACCAACAACAGATCGTTGAGATTAAGAACTTGTCAAAGGACTTTTTGTCCAATGTTCTTTTCCCTACGCCACATGATTAATACATTAAATTACTGTGATTAGGTTATTATTTGTGACTTTATATGCACTCAGTCACATAGATTTATCATTTTCATATTGAAGATTATAGTTATACCTTCTCTGAGGGTATGGGAGATTAAAAAATAGAATGCAGCTTGTTAATGCCTGTGTTTTGGCATCTGAATTGCAGTGCATGGAAGCAG